TAGCACGACTCGGACCTGAAACGCAGTTTTATATTTTCCTTAACTGAGACATATTTCTTTAGAGTTCAACCGCAGAAAAAGTCCTTGCATTTGACAATTGTTTCAAATAGCGCAGATTCTAGCCTATCCCTGGATGCCAGAGTCTTCTTTTTCCTTTGGGGCAACGCTGGTGAGCGTGAGGACCTCTGGCATCCAGGCTTTGTTCAATGTGCCAAATGTAGTAGAATTTTTCGGACTGGATTTCTTCAGGGAATCTACCGACGTTTAAAATGATAATGGAAAATTTGTCGTAGCATGTTATGTTCCTCTAGAAAATGTCGCATTAGAAAGTTTCCCGTCGTGGTCGCACTTTAGTAACCTAGATAGTTTTTTTTCAGGCTGTTTTTTTCGCAACTGCATGAGTTGCGTCTTTAACTGGGATTGTCGGTCTTCCATGCAGTTAGTTTTCTAACCATAATTTAGTTAAATTAGATGGGCATACCCAAATAAAATTCTTGTTGTTATTGTTTTATTGGCTATAATTTCCAACGAGCAGCGAAAACGCGAGGCTGCGAGGAGGCAGCCTAATAGAGTTGTAGTTCCAGGGGCAGGAAAAACCTCGAATAGAGGTAACATATAGCAATGTAATTTTAGTAATGTAAGGCAACATTTATGACGTAATGCAGAACAGAGAATGCATTGTTTTCGAATTAACACGTGATACAGATCAGAGAATCCACGAGCCGTGTGAGCTGTTTGTAAGTCTCGTGCTCATCCCGTCTTCAACCAATCGTCGGGTGGATATTCATTTGCATCATACGCGATTTGCCCGCTGGAAAATAATTCCGAAGGCTTCATCAGCGCACCGTAACCGTTAGTGTAGTTTTAGTCGTACATGAACATCGCATGCAGGAGTACTCAAAATGCCGCGCATATCAAACGCTTTTAACGATTACAAATAAGCTTAACAAAACCATAAATAAAAAATAAATATAATAAATTCTTTATAATGTTTACGCGTAACTCTATTAATGTTCATTCAAACACGCAACAGCTCGCACTGCAAATTTGGCGCTTATCAAAAATGAGAACCGGCTAGCTTTATAGCTGATTTAGGATTTTTTTTAACGTTTTCGCTAAAAGCGCATTTATATTACCCTGCATGCTACACAGGAGCAGATTGTTCCGTTATGGAATTCTCTTCATATGAAAACATTTTATAATCAGAGTCAATTCTATAATTTGTTGTGCAATTAAAGGAAGCGCGTGCTTCGATCATCCTGAATATTGAATTAGTGCAATTTGTCTTGCAAAGTTGTGAAAACTGCAGAGAAGTATAGGTTTAAACAGTGCAAAAAAGAACATTAAATCTGTCCGAGATCTGTATAAAAAAGCAGCGCCTCATAGAACTATGTATCTCAGATGTGATGTCCAAAAAGTAGTAAAGGCTGGTTTACACCCCACTAGATTTGTCGGCAAGATTTGTAAAGTAAACTTGTCGAACACAAAAATTCCAGCCTGATCTTTTATTTTGCGCCTCCCTTTTAGACAAAGGAATTCAACCTAGAAACTGCAACGTGTAAATTGGCTGCCACCCAGGACTATCGTGTCTTATAATTGGCCTTTATAGCATAAAATTATATTTCGGGGCTGTCCAATTAACCTTATAAAATAAAGGTGGTCGTAGGTGGGCGACTGGGTTATTTTGTTTAGGAAGAATTTGTTTTCCAGGCCTAATCTATGATCGAAGACGATTGCTACTTTTTGGATGTTCTTTTTAAAGACTATGTACAATGTAAAATTTGTTTAACCCTTGAACTGTTTGCAAATTCTTTTTATCTAAAATCACTAAGCCTTTCCCTCAAAATTCACATGAATGTGCCCTATAGTTAGCTGATTTGTGGATTACAAGTTTATTGTTTGATTTAAATTATAAATTTATTAACGGGAGCTTCGCTTTTAGCCCTGGCTATATCTATATATTATTTTTAAAACTTAAGGGACACCCAACGACGATTTCCTCCTAAATGCATTGAAAACACTTCTTAAGGCTGTCCAGAGTGCTTTAGATCTCTAAACATGCATTCTAAGCTGCGCTAATACATAGATTTAGTTAGGGCTAAAAGCGAAGCTCTCGATAATATTTATAGTTTGCTAATACTAAATATAAAATTGTGTAATGCTAAGCTAGCGGAGAAGGCAACGAGAACTGTGAAAAACATCAATAGGTCAAGAGAGGATAAAGGGGACAGAGAAGGCATCCCCCATACACACCCTATTCCATAGGTAATTCGTCTCGAGTTATTTTTAGAATCGGGATAAAGTTACCTCGCGCGTTGCGTGGATGTTTCGTGGAGGTTTCGCATGACTAAACGCCGTGCAAAACATGTCGGGCAAATAGCAATGAAAGCGTAAAGAGATCGAGAGCATTCCTGAATATTGACGCGAAATGAGTCGGCGCTCACCTGGGAAAACTAGACTCTTTGACAACCCGTGAAATCAGTTTAACTCGAAGTTGTTGTAACCTCAGTGCTTTAATAAAATGAGAAATTTCGCCGGTCTATTGAAACCGGTCGTTTGTACAATAAAGCAAGTAGGACGCCAAGCGTGTTATTTTTGTTGAATAATAAAAGACTAATAAAAGAATAAATATCAAACCAGAAATTGCTCTCTTCAAACTGTAAATTATAAATAATCCTGAGAGAATATTCAGTGTGTTAAGGATTTCCCTGCTGTACTGTTAGCTCCATACAAGAGAGGAAGGGTGATTCTTTTTTAATTTCCATTTCGCTGACACAGCTCTAGCAGAAATCTCTCTGTAGTTGTTTTCGTGGACAAAACGAATAGCAATATCGCTCTCCGCATCTTCCGCCATTTTGTTCTGCGTCAAATCGTGAAGGACGCGTGGTTCTGAGCGTGGGTCATCCACGCGGAACACATTCGCGCTATGTGATTGGCTGTTTTCTAATCCCCCTTGGGATCTGTGGTCTTAAAAATAACTCGAGACGAATTACCTATGGAATAGGGTGAGTATGGGGGATGCCCTCTCTGTCCCCTTTATCCTCTCTTGAATAGGTCTAATAGACCTTATTCACGATACCCGCTATCTGTGCCCGCCCTTTAGGATTGATGGGATAGAGAAACAATGTCACGTGGTATTTCAGGGGGAAAACAAGCGATAAATTTGCCAATACCAGTAATCGCGTTCGAGTTTGTTTATTATCTCAAAACGAGAGAACGATATGATAGTCGTGTAAAATGTACAGTTCGAGTTTCGACAAGTTGTGCGTCATGATTTATTACTTCCTGGTGGACATTTGTGGTCGGTACTGCGTCTAAAAACGTAGCAAATGATCATTTCAACCCGTAATTTGCCATTATCATCTTTCAGATAAAAAGTTCTTATTTGTCTGATGTCTAGAATTTACAAACTCGACCGCGATCTCGTGCATTGGCAGATTTTATCACTTGTTTGCCCCCTGAGAAACCACGTGACATTACTTTTATCCCGTCAGTCCTTAAGCGCATGCAGAGGTGGCGGGCATCGTGAATACGGTCTATTGCAGCGCACTTTTTTGTACATTTCCTTGCCGTTATTTTGCATGACTACAACGTAAAACGTCCAGAAACTTCCTGGTTGTCACGTTTTATGGAGGAAATGTCGTACATGTCCTTGTTCACTTTTTCCACTGCCGCTCATTTTTTTTAGCTTCGCTATAAAATTAGTATCTGTTCGGTCATCCTAGGGCAAATTGAGTCTTTTTGAAAATTACAAGGGCTTCAATATTATTTTCCCGATTGATTGACCTAGAAGAAATAGTACCATCCCTCCCATAGTACGAGCTGCATTGTCGGCGGACGCGGTTGCTAAGCTTGAATATTCACATCGCGTAGTTATCCTACCCGTTTGCGGTTATGCGGAGCGTAAAGGTCAAGTGTTTTTTGCTGAGCGAGCGATTATCGTGCAGTTGCGATGGGTTTTGTGAAGCAAGCGAGCAAGAAGCCCGAGCACATGTTACCTGCAGATTAGCCGATGGCAATTTGGAGCGGAATCGTCGATTATTCTCAAATTTATAGCGCTTCGCTGGAGGCGCGTGGAGATGGTCCGCTTTTTTTTGTAGCCAGCCTTTAATTTTTCTATAGTGAATAGTATCTACGATTGCAAAACACGACAAAATGCCACTTTAACCGGCTAGGAAAGAAAAGGAGACGTTCAGTTAAAGGAATTTTAGCTTTGTTTTGTTATATTTTGACTTCTGGACTATTTTAGTTAATGGGAGATTCGACGACTCATCGCATTTTGTCCATGTTATTGACACACACTACGTCTGGACTGCCTGTGTTTACGCAAAATGACATGTGCACAACTTCGGACAAAAACACGAACTTCAATAGTCTCGAAAAATTGGCTATGTAAAGTCTTTATCCAGAAGAACAGTTTAGTTCACTATTTCTAAAAGACAAACTTAAAGCGGGGGGCACACATACACCAACCCATGATCCGCCTTCCCCGCGCATGTCGTGGGAGAACTACCGTGCGGTTCCCAGTCAACAGCTCCCACATTTGTTGTGTGGGGCTGGCACTTTAAGCAGTGCTTTGCACTTACTTCGGCAGTAGGAGGTCTTCGAAACACGGGTATACCCCGTCCATTGGCCCAACGGCTTTACCATGCAGGTGAGCCCCAATAAGGGCGAAACAGCTGCCATGGCTGCCACTGCCCGCTTGATATAGCCGTGCGCATGCGTGAGGTGTTGGCGGCCGTGGGTTGTTGTATGTGTACCCCTTGCTTTAAGAATTGCACTATTTTCAAGGTTATTTTCGCTTGTGCAGTTGAATTACATTCATCAATCTATTCTTCATAAATTACTGTAATTCATGACTTTTCTAAACAAATTGAACAGCGCGCGCATATAGGTAAAATCTTTGTTCGTTAACAATATTGTAGAGACATAATTTTGGGGATCGACCGGACACATGTGAGAAACTTGCATGAAATAACAAATAACACTGACTTACCACAAAGACTAAATGTTAGTTCCTTTCTCATCTTAAAGGGAATACAACGCACATCAAGGTTCTCCTTCAATAAGGGACCTGGTTACCAAACAACATGGTGTGAATAAAACAAACTACCAGAACTGTACATGCAAGTCCGTCTGAGTATACATCTACAAAGTTCCAACATGAACTTTTTTGAAGGTCTAAAGGTGGCGAAAATAGGGTGGCTATTGTTGAAAACAGAAGTGTTCTTTCGACTTCTTACCTGAAAGATGCGGGAAAAACTTCACTTACTACTTGGAAGTATCGTCCCTTGTGGTAATAAAAGAAAGAACGAATTTTTAGATGGTGTTTTTGTTGCAGACGTACCTGTAGTACCGGCAGGTGCTATCGTCCTCAAGTACTCAATTACGTCGATTCTGTTTTGAGATTTAGCTTTATTAGCCAGACACCGGATCCATCGTTGCGTCTTTGGCACTGGATTTTTCAGATCTGCTGGAGTTAACTGCAGACACTCTTGAAATCGAACTACAATTTCCTTGGGTTCGTTCGACTGAGTCTGAATGCAATGAAGAACATCATAGGGGAGAGCAAGAGACTTCTCTAGAAATTAAAAAAAAAAACAGAAGACTTGAAGGGACTACCATGATAAATTGAATTAAAAGAAAGATAGAATAGATACGAAATCACGCAGAGTTTAAAAAGTACAACTGATCGTACCTCCTTGGTAAGTTATACAGCTTCTCAGTTCTCCAACGTTACATCCAGATGCACCTTGCAGCTTGAAAAAAAAATCAAAGAATTAAAAATATACAGTTTGGAAAACATCAATTTTGTTGTTGTTGTTGTTTTATAATATGTATGTATATTTTTTGTAACCATTAAGTTGTATTTATTAGATAATGGTGTATATTGAAAACGCTATAGAAAACAGTTGTTAATTGCATAAATTGTACATAGTGTTTGGTGTAAGACAGAAACCAACCTGATTGACTGGAGTCCTGTTTTCTTGTGGGCTTGTAAATGCAAACCAAGGTGCAAACATCTTGATGTCAATTCTGCAATCTCCACGCAAACCAGGCCGGGTGCAGTATTGACATTTTTGCAGCTCAGATTCCGACAACAGGTGAAGACACTCGCAGCCACGCACATCATGAACTCGACATCTGACAGAGCCTTTCTGCGAACATACTGGACAACAGATGCACATTTCGTACCTCATGTTCTTAAGCCAGGTAAATTCTTCGCGCATGCACTCAAGAATCAGCCCCAGTTGCCAATGCATTGCACGACTTGTCGTCAGATCAGAATGACTATCAGTGAGAAAATCTGCCGTCCTTGCTCCACGAAAATCGTTTCCATCGTGAAGGGCGATTTCAATGGAAAAGGAATGGCACATAATGATGACAGAGGTCCCTTGATGAGGAAGGATGTGGAAAAGAGCAAAATTACTGTACAGCTGGGGTTGTATCTCGCTCTTCCACTCGTCGTTGCACCACTGATAAAACTGGAGTACTAGTCGCGCAAACAGGCCCGGAGGCACTCGACCTGAATCAAACCTCACAAAGAGAGAAGGGATTCTCACAGAGGAAAGAAGCTCGATGAGGTCGTCTGTAGGCGGTGACATCAACATGGATGGCACAAGGTACTGTTTGTGTTCTCCGTCAGATGGCCAGGGGCAGAGCAAGCTGAATCTCTCCATTATCGCGATAAGGCTGACACAGGTTTCTTTACTGTACATATCAATCAAAGGTTTCCATTCATAATCCAGGAGCCTTTCATCTAAGATCCCAGTCTCCTGCAGCTTGATCCAAAACTGTTCAACAACGTCTTCTGTAGGCTCGTAACGCCTAACGGTGATTACTTTCTTGAAAATATCAATGAGCCATTGGGGGTCCAAAATCACCATGTTGTTCAATTCTGGTGTTTTGTTAAAATGAATTAGAAACTTTTGATCATGCAAAAACTGAAGCATAGTACGAAATTGTTCATCGTCGTCGATCCCGCACTTATCAGCGGCAATCTGCCTTGCTTCATTAATTGGAATCCATTTGTCATACTCTTCACGCAAAAACCGGAGAATATGTTCAAATCTTAACCACTTCAATGGAACGGCCTCTTTCAAATATGGAAGACTATGGGCAACGGAGAGTAATTCTTTTCTTAGGCGCGCTACCTCGGGGCACTCATTTTTGCTTCCTGACTTCGTGTTGTCGACAGCAAAGACATCCTTAAACAAATGTTTTTTATAAGGCTTGGTTCGGAGAAATCCAAAGATTCTGAGCGCCAACTCTCTGGGATCAGTAGTGCAACAGTAAGGTTCATCGGCATGAGTACAGACGACAAACACTGCGGGCAAACTCGCAGGTGAGGGGTGGGACACAGAAGTGTCCTGACCAATAGCATGTGGATTGACCAAAGAATAAACTGATGAGAGCCAAAAGTCGAGATAGTCTACATTTGTCTTGTTGCAGCAAATGTCTTCTTCGCTCATATACAGTCCTTTTTTGACGAGAGTGTCAGCTTTATCATAAGGATGACGACTTAGGTCACAAGTTAAAATGTAGATGGCTCGCTCTATCAGGAAGATTGGATGGGTGGCGTAGTAAACCGACTCTCCACCAAAATCCCAAATAATGGAAAATACATTTTCTTCTTCACCCATTTCATTATTTTTCAGAAATTTTTCAACCAAGGTTGCTATTGTGTCTGGTACCTCTTCTTCAAACGGATGACTGTAACTTTTTGACTCAGTTTTACTTTTGCTTGGTTTCTTAAAAAATCGTTTAACATTTGTTAATTTCCTAAACATCGACTGTGCAATGCGGTGTTCGTACAAAACCTCTGATCCGGAATCAGATTCCCTGCCCGGCTCGCCTGTTCTCCAAATCTCCGTCGAAACCTTAAAGTATGAAGGGTCAGTCTCTATTCCTTCCGTGCTGAGTTCCTTCGGATTGAACTTTTCTCCCTTTAGAGACTTCTTCAGACTTGTCTTCCCTGTCCGATTCTGCCCGATAATCATGATTGGCACCCTATTTACGTATGCTTTTCCATCCACAAGAGCTTTGTTGTAGGCTTCAATGGCAGCTGGACCCCGCGCCTGAATATCTGAGGGAACTATTCACACAAAAAATTATTAAAAGCCCCATTATTCCATTCAGATCTCTGGCTCCTTTCTATAACACTTATACGTAGTGTATACGGGCAACGATTAAGACTTAATGGCCTAATCGAAAGACTTACACCTACATTTAAAGGGCCACAAAGCAAAATAAATATTAGACTATTAGTCTACTCACTGTAATAAGGATTGACCCGGACAATAGGTTCATGTGACAAACAAACCCGCCCGCACCAAATTAATCCACAACTTGGCTCGAAACAACAGCGCCGAGTTACCTGACTTTATTTCAGTATGTTGCGCACATAAATGTCCATCAAATTGCTCGAAAATTAGAGGTCATGTATATTAGAACCAAGGGTGTTTCACGTAATTGTTATTACTACCCTGGGAGTAAACAGCAAGATAATTTCTGAGTAAACTATGAATTTTAATTAAGTTCACATTTTTTTCGCATTTTTTTACGTTTACAGTTTTTTTGCGCTGGATAACTGAAAAGTCTAAAAAATAAAATAAAAGAATTTCAAGCCAAAGGTCATGCACTTCCTACGGACAGGGTAAATGTCTGTTTGTTGAACGGGAAAAGCGTTGTTTATTGCCAGTTTCGTTCTAGCAGCCAAAAATTTTAAATAGAGATTTCTCGAAAAAGCTCCCATAAAAATTGCTTGAAATCGGTGCAACTTAAAGGGACAGTGTCCCGACTGTGCGCACGCGCGAGCGTCATCTGTTTTTTCTTCAGAAGACAATAGAACTGTCAAATTGACTCGACAAGATTTCCTTCCAGACCGCACCGCCGACGGAGACTTGTTGTTTACCTTCTCAAGTAATATTTTAGGCTTTCGAAGAAGTGTTTCGTCTTATTTAAAATTTGGCTAGCGGCACGAAGACTCATCACGATTTTGCTAGTAGGGCCGCCTTGCGACCCGAAAATCTCGTTCCGCTCGCTTTAAAAACAGCTTTTCTAATGTGAAACTCGTGTCAGAGGTCAATAGACTGTTCCAAAAATTAAACGTCCAGTAATATTTGGCTGATTTGCTCGCGTTCTAGCCTCAAACGTTTTAAAGATATAAATAAAAATGCAATCTCAACGCGATGAATTATCGCAAAGGGTAGTCAAAAATTATAATATGACTTCATTGCACTTGAAGCGCCTGTTTGTTTGATTTTGTCGGCCTTAGGGAGGTTTATTTAAAAGTTTACTAAGGCGTCGTTGCAAAACATTTTGCTTCACAAAGCTTAATTCCACAAGATCTCCTCAGTCACATCCATGTCTCAATGGTTTCTTTCCGGCTTACAGTCTCTATATTGTTGCTGTTTCATTTCTGCGTATTCCTTTCACAATTATCTGAGCTTGTATGGAAGCTGGCAGAAGAAATAAGCCTTCAATTGGCATAAAAGCGCTCCCCATCTTTTGGTCCTCCGGCCAACGGCAATAAAAGTAACGCCAAAAAATCCCGATTTCGCCCAAATCGAAACTCAACGGCAACAATATATCATTGATCTGTAATCCTAAGAAGTTTAGTGCAGTATCGAACTCGGCCAAGCGCGATGCAAACGGATTTTTCAAGGTTCTCTTACTCTCCTCATCTCTTTTGATTCCGCGACATCCTGTCAAAAAATCAAAGTTTGGTGCATGCGCAGTAACGGGGTACCGTTCCTTTAAGACAGTAATATGAACCACAAGCCCTATAAGCAGCTTCGTAAACGAATGCCTGGATTTTTCACAAATTGTGGTAGTGGCATGACCTTGTTGCCATGGATACGTCAATCTTGAAACTCTAATCTATACCCTACAAGTGGCAACAATTTGAATTCCTGCTTTGTGTGAGGCGTCTTCGCATTTCGTGTTCAAAGAAGAGTAGGTGTTGTCACTGAAAAACCGGGTCGAACCACCTCACATTTCCTCTAAAGCCCTGTTTAAACGGATCCGCCATTTTGGCTCAACTTCATGTAACACTTCTGGAATCAATATATTGTATCCGTTTGAATACTGGAACGTCATAGAAGATGTCGGACCAGGTTTGAACGAGTTCAAACTTTTTAAACTACGTCGTTTAACATTTCTTTTGTTTTCGGGTGAGATGGTGCGTGATGTACCAACGTGCTGGCCACCTAGCTTTTGTTAAACAATAAAAATTGCTAGCAAAGAAAAGTGTCACACAAACATTACCAAACATATTACACGCGCAATAGAGCTGACTATTCTTTCTCGACGCTCACGAGCCACTTAAAACTCACTCCAAACAAGACTAAAATAAAATCCTGCTATTTAAAAAGGCCGCTAAAGATACCAGAGTGAGGAAGATATTATCTACAATCTTTTCCTGACATGAGTCCTGGAACAATAGATATATTGGCCTGGGTAATGGGAAAGGTGTGCTAAATATAAGGCGGGTAACAGAATGATCTTTGAGGGACACTTTCGACATAATAATGCTTAATTAATAATAATACCCCCCAAAAACTTTAAAGCTTAAGATTCTAAGAATTACCTTCGCTGCTGCTTTCTTCCTCTGAAGAAAGAAAGAAATAGAGAAAGAAAGAAAGAAAGAAAGAAAGAAAGAAAGAAAGAAAGAAAGAACTGCATTAATAAAAATTATTAACATGTTATGACAAAACACTGTAATTAAATCGTAAGTTTATCTGAAAACGTAAACTCCTCCAAACAACCCGATACCACCCCTTTCGTTTAACTTTGGGTATGGGCAGGCACCCACTGAGATACTAGGCTGGTGTCGAATATGTTAATGAAAACTAGATCAAGTTCACCACCGACGAAAACAATATGGGAGGTGGTCGAGTGGAGTAGAGTATTAAAATAAACATCTGTCGACCTGATAGCTTATCGAAAGCTTATAATTAGCTTATCTATAGTTTATCAATCTACCCTACATATAGTCACAAAAAAGGCAACTACTACTAAGTAAACATTTTTGTCCAAATAATGCACCAGGCAAAGAGAATTAAACTTCAATTCGTCAATTTGTTACCTTCGCTGCCTTCTTCCTCTAAAGAAAGAAATAAAGAATTGGATTAAAAAGGGCGTCTAGATTTTTCCAACTTAGCCTAAATAGGTTCTTCTAGAAATGGTATTCAGCGGGATTTTAGGCTACTTAGGTTCTTAATTTGATAGGGGCATTAGCGATTAGCACAGATAACTACTACAGGGCATAAAATGTGATATGGAATATGTTGCTGTATTAAATAATTATCTAGAATGACGGTTTAGATGATAACCATGCAGTAATTTTCTCTTTCCAAAGTATTAGCATGCATGTCTTTCACACGGCTGTATTTTCTTCTCTGCCTTCATTTTTGTAAAATAAGAACCTCTTGAAAATTTTAGGCTAAATAAGTTCTTATGAAAAGGGGATTTAAAATGAAATTTTTGCCTAACAGGTTCTTATATGCGGGTTTTTCCTGTATGACACTGTAGGTTATTCATAAACTTTGTCTGAAACCGCAAATTCCGTCCTTATTTCATTAGAATTCAATTATGAACTCTGGTCGTCAAAACGACTTCATCCATACAAAACAAATAATATCTGACCTTCGATATGGACAGGCACCCGCTAACATACGGGTCGAAAGTTTTAGTTGAATATAATCCGAATACAATGAGCCATGAAATTTCCGCAGGATCTAATTTTACAAATTTCGCAAATTTTTCTGCTGAGAAAAAAGAATCCTGACTGTTTTCCCCATTTCACGATTTGCTGAATTTAAATTTAAATGACGGTAAACTACATTACGATCGTTCGTTTTTGATCTCCGTGCGAAAAAAGTTGCCTTAAACGACTTAGGCCCGGTTTAGACGCCCAACTTTTCATGAGCCGAGCCTAATTCGAATTAAGGCCGACCCAAATCATTTAGACCGGCTGAATTGATTCAGACGCCGATCTTAACTGCAGCTGAACTAAGTTCAAAAGGCGGAAAATGCTCATTTCGGTCAAACTGCTTAAAATACGTTATTATAATTTATGCATTAGGTCCGGTACATGAAAAGTTTGGCGTCTGAATCAAAGCCTCCAAAGGCGAAACTCCCGGCCGAGCTAGGCGAAAAGAACGGCTGAGCCGTTCCAAATTGAAACAGGCGTTCCTAATTGATTCAGACACTGAACTTTTCATGTAATAATAATAACAATAATAATAATAATAATAATAATAATAATAATAATAATAATAATAATAATAATAATAATAATTTAAACATATTTATGCAGGATTGCTGCATCAGTTTTAAGAAAAAAACTGCTATCAATGCAGGTCCTGTACAAAAATTAACAAAAAACAAAATTAAAGATATGGATAAAAATCAAATCACAATTTATAGTTACATTGAAAGGAAGATTCGAACAGTTATAAATTCTAAGAATTATTAAAAATTTTGCACCTTTGTAGAAAAAAGCGTGCTTAGTGCATTCTAAGTTAACTTTTTTTCTAAAAAAGGTCATTATTATTTCTAGTTTTGTGGCGGTGAATGTCACGGTTTCTTACATTAAAATAATTAAAAAGGTATCTCGGAACTCTATTTGTAATGCACTTATTAACGAATCTTAAAATGTGTGTCTGTCTTCTATAATAGAGAGGTTCCAAGCCCAGTTTGGTCATAATTTGATCAGTTAATAGTTTTGAGGCAGCTTTGAAGTAGACGATCCTCGCTGCTCGTCTTTGTAGTCCTGCGATCTTGTCATAGTTTATTTGTCCACATTCATGCCACACAGCATCACAATTAACTCAATGTATTAGATTCGGCGTCTGAACCGGGCCTTACCGCCTCTGGCAAATGTTCTGATTGTGGCTACTCTAGAAAAGCATCCGTTACGCGGCATTTACGACACCTAGCGTTTGGAAGGTCGATTTACAGAAAACTCCAACTGGCTGATAGAGCCCACTACCAAATTGTCATAAGGAGTCACACCGTCGTAACGTAAAGACAAGAAACAAAGAACATGAAACCCCTTATTATTATTATAATTACTATTATCATTATCATT